TCCTCACCCAGCAGCGGCGGCGGCAGCGGTGGGGAGAACCGAGGCCCAACTTTTCCCCATCCGCCGCCGTCGCCGTCGCGCTCAAGGTATCCCCTCCAGGAGCCGAGGGGAGCCGCACTAGTGGCGGGAGCTGCAGGATTAGGAGGACCTTTGCCGCCACCGCCTTCTGGCCAGGCCCCTTCTGCCGCTGCGGGGCCTTCGCCCGAATTGCCGCGGCGGCGATCCGCAGCAGTAGGCCCTGTCCACGGTGCCATCCCTCCAGCGCCAGAGGAAGGAGCAGCGTCGCTTGCCAGCAGCCGCCTTCTGACGAGTCGCCGCCGTCGCCCTCCTCGTCGGTGGCGGGGAGAGGTGGGGGAACAGCCTCCGCCGCCGAGGCTTAGAGCCATCTGCGCCCTACAGCCGCCGCCGTGTCTGTCCGCGCTGTTCCTGAGCGGCTCCCGGCTCCCAGACATGACCGCCATCATCAAAGAGATCGTCAGCAGGAACAAAAGGCGATACCAGGAGGATGGCTTTGATTTAGACCTGACCTGTATCCCAAATCATGTAGAGGCCTGACTGGGCCAAGGATGCCTTTTTCTTGGTGGAGGTGGAACCCCCTCGATTTTAGCTTCCCCCACCCCCTGGCTGGAGGGAAGCCTGGTTGTTCGTGTTGCATTACTTCCCTTCCCTCACCCCCCTCCGGTCAGGTACTGCGCTCCTGTAGTAAAAGCTGCTGTGATTTCTCTCTTCTGCTTTACCTCGAATTGGAGAAGCGAGAATCTGGCAGGCTCAGGGCCTATGCCTGGCACTAAAGGGTAGAAATGAAATTCAAGCAGAAAACGCTAGCTCAGGTACAGGCGTTGCATCAGAATTCTGGAGCTGGTGATCCTCACATTTCTTGCAATAGATTCTGTATAATCAACTATGCTAGCATTTATGACAACAATTGTGTATATTAAGATTTTATCGTTTATAGTGGCTGATAATATCTGGATACTGCACAATGCCTTTGTCTTCTAAAATGTTCTTCATTGTGATATTAAAAATGCTGATGGTTGGTTTACATAGTATAGTGCTCACTTCCTGGCTGTAGACTGGTTGTAGTTATGTTAAAGGTTTTTGTGTCCAGTGTAGTTAATTCAGTACCTAACTTATCTTAGATAATGTGATGTACATTGTGTATTTTTTGTGCAGAAATGAACAATTGCAAAGAGAGTAGTGTTATTTTTGAAGGCCACTATGTATGGTCTTGAGGGGCTCTTACCTCCTACTGAAACTAAGTAATGAGTTTCAGATAAGAGTGTAGAAAAAGATATTTTATCCAATAACTTTTCTCTGCTCAGGGAGTTTGAGTGCAAAACTTATGCATTCAGAGATACTGGGTAAAATACTGGAAGTTTTATCCTTCTTAGTTCTGTAGTGTATTTCTGCTAGTGCAGAAGAATGTAGTTCTCATTTCTGTATGTTCACTGCAGGGGGTGTGGCCAATGTATACATGCACATAGGTTCTTTGTGTCAGCTGGTGGCAGCATCTTTTAAAATATATATGGATTGAAACAGTATTACTTTAGGTGTCATTGTAGTATTTGATAATGACTGAAAATATTGTTTCAGCAAATAGATCTGAGAAAATGATTTTCCATGACTTCTACCCTGCAATGTATCCCAGAAGTATTAAGGTTAATTTTTTTTAACTAAACTTAAAGAATGGGGATATTTTTGTTGAAGTATTTTATTATATTAGTAGAAAATATGGTTAGTGCAGTACTTGATATTGTGTTCAGTAAGACATTAGAAAATTTCAGAAGTGTTAGCTAAAAGTGAATTTCGGTTTGGCAGTTATAAATTAATAGAACTTTTGATAAAATAGTAACAAAATATGATTCTTGTTTCTAATTGGTAAATGGTAGGAGTTCTAAATACCATGTTCGGGGAGGCTCTTGAGAGAGTATTATGATCTTTCATTTGTTCAAGGGCTCTGTGTTCAAATTTATTTTAGCCTTTGGTGGCTTCTGTCTTGGAAGCTTGGGTACTCCACATGATTTTTAAGGCAGTTTATGTTTTGTTATATACCAATACACTTGTCATTAGAAAACTGTACTTACTTTAAAAAATGAATATATTGCTTTCCCCTGTTTCCAGTGCAATTTTATGTCCCGTTTAAATTTAAGTTGTTCATCCCTGTATTTTGTGGGGTTTATTCCCATGTTAGTATATATCCATTTGTGCATTTAAGATTAGAGTAAGAGACTCAGTAGTTAAAGAATTTTCAAAATATATTTTTCATTGATAATGTTGATTTTGCCAATGGCTTGTGTACAGTCAAGAGTTTTGGTAGCAGAGCAAGAAAATTGAGATACCTTATTCAGTTCAATATAGAGGGGTTTTTTCAGTGAAAACTGTTTCCCCCGTACTTTGAGTAGAAGTTCGTTGCTGTGTTGATTAATATTTCAAGTTATCTGTGCCAGTTTGGTATTTTAAAACTAAAGTACGATAAAACAAATCTAAAATATAAATCTATAATATGGCAGTCATTAATTTCTCTATTGGGAGATTTTCTGTCCTATTTATAAAGATTGAATTCACTTTTCAGATGTAGAAGATTAAGTACGATTGAGTCTCTTAGGCTTTAATGAGTAAAATATGCAGTCCTGTGCATACTCCATTGACAGCCACACATTTATTTTCACATAAACATGTGTAAGAGTCTGAACATAGAATATGAACTTAAGTGGACTCAAGAACCGTTTGAAGTAGTTTAGGATTTTGCTGAAAAAACTGTTTGTTCATGTCAGTTTGAGATTTCAGATTGAGAGGTCAGTAGACACATCCTATTAATTTGAAATGGAAGCAAAGATATGCTATGTAAGATATCTTATGCTTTGTTTAGTGTGCTTTGTGCATAAAATTGTTTTAAAATTACTATTCTAGTATTAGTTGCACACTATGTTCTAGCGTGAATATGTTTTGAAATGTAGTTAGGAGGTATTACTCTTTTTCCATCGGGGAAAAATTATAATTATGGCTTAATTTCATGGCACTGTGAAACAACAGATGGTATGATGTGTATGTCAATACAAAAGTCAATTTCAGTACTACAAGCAAAAGTTAATTGGAGGCATATACGTACTTACTAAGAAGGAGTTGTATTAAACTCAGAAAAAACTTATTTTGAATAAGCATATATAGAATTGCATTATTAGTTCTGTTCAGTTGTTTTCAGTAAAAAGAAAAACTAATTTTGGTGCTATGAAACTTAGTTGCCTCCCACATACTGTATCACTGCTTAAATTTAACAGGCAAGGTAGTAACATCATGGATGTACTTTTAGCGTTATAGTAATATTTGGTTCTGCAGTGGTTTCTATTCTGAAATAATTGGGGAACACTGTCAGGTTGTCATAGTAATCCTTATTGTACAGTTCAGCTACCACATTAACAGAATTCTCATTCATGGAAGTAAGCCACTGTGTATAGTTGTGTTGGTTGAAATCCTTTTTCTTAGCATAGTAAGTGGCTAGAGTAGACCCATTCAATCAGGAGAACTTATGAAGGCGTTTGATTACCAAATCCCCATTGTTTTAGTGAGCCTGCTCTTGTTGCAACTTACTACATTAAGCAACAGAATTTCAACCATTAATTCCTTAGTGAACATGTATAGGTGTATACCCTAATTTAAGAAAGTTTTTAAATTTGAGAGTGTTGCATTTTTTTTCCTAACTGAATTACTGTTTTAGCTTTCTTAACATTAATGTTTAAAGGAAAATGGCAGAATATGTTTTTTAATTGGGAACTTTTACTAATTCAGAATTTAAAATAGTTATTGGTGCATTATGTGTGTGAGAGATCATGCAGCTAGATGTGTGTGCAGTGATAAATTACATTTCTGGTTAATGGTACAGTTCATTTCAGTTGTTTCTCCACTTCAGTTGGAATTACTTGGCTTTTGTATTTGAAGTTACAGTTAAAATGCTAAGATTTGTAAGGTTATACAAACTAAATAAGTTAAAAATTAACAAGCATCACTTAGGTACACAGTTAAGTCACAGTTAATATGCATCTTAAAAAGCAGAGACATCACCTTGCCAACAAAGGTCCGCATAGTCAAAGCTATGGTTTTTCCAGTAGCGAGGTATGGAAGTGAGAGCTGGACCATAAAGAAGGCTGACCGCCGAAGAATTGATGCTTTTGAATTGTGGTGCTGGAGGAGACTCTTGAAAGTCCCCTGGACTGCAAAGAGAACAAACCTATCCATTTTGAAGGAAATCAACCCTGAGTGCTCACTGGAAGGACAGGTCCTGAAGCTGAGGCTCCAATACTTTAGCCATCTCACGAGAAGAGAAAGCTCCCTGGAAAAGCCCTTGATGTTGGGAAAGTGTGAGGGCAAGACGAGAAGGGGACGACAGAGGATGAGATGGTTGGACAGTGTCACTGAAGCGACCAATATGAATTTGACTGAACTCCGGGAGGCAGTGGAAGACAGGAGGACCTGGCATGCTCTGGTCCATGGGGTCACGAAGAGTCAGACACAACTTAATGACTAAACAACAACAATAAGTCATAGCTCTTGGTTGCCATTTGGTCAGTAGTAACATAATTGAAGTGTAGAATAGAACTTAAAATGAGATTGGCATCCTTCTAAGGATAACTATGCATTTGCTAATGTATCTATTATGATCACATAAAGCTGATTTATATGGAGTCCGACCAGTTTGCTTAATATTGCCTACTCAGTGGCTCTCTACAGCCTCAAGCTCAGATTTTCCTTAATGTGCTGCTCAAGACCTTTTTAAAATTGGAAATGTAATAAATTTGATTTTAGATATAATGAAATTGGAACAGCCCTTCTCAGCCCTTTTTAAAACCCATGTCCAGAAACACAATATGAAAGAAATATCGGACAAATCGGGATTGTGTAAGTTGTATAACAAACTGGTTCCGGTCTCTGTCCCCCTTCAAATGTATTAGGGTCCCCCAGGGGGCCATATAGCCCCATTGAGAATGGCTTATGTAGAACATACATTGTATCTTGCTGCTTGTAAATACAGTACAGTATATTAATTTCTGTACTTCACAGTGTTGTGTGCTGTCATATGGGAATGGGAGGGTTAATATGTATCTTTGATTTTAAAAAGGCAGGTTTAATTTAAGATGTTGATTTACACGCAAGATTTTTAGTTTAAAATGTCATATTTTGAAGGCAGTATTAGCAAATTCAGAGTCTGAACTTAATTGTTCAGACTTAACTTAATCAATCAAGGTAATTGATACATTAAAAAAAACCCCAGCAGAGATAGCCATATGGTCCTGTACACAATCCAGAAGTAGAAGTGGTATCTTTACTTGAACCACTAAAAACCAAACACTAAATGCAAGCTTGTCTTGCATTTAATGTTTGTATCTACATTTTATTTATCTATAGTCATCCTTTTCCAACCTAAGATGCTAGACATTGTTGCAATGCAACAGCCAGCATCATCTCTATTATCTGTCCTCAGCAGAGATGAACAAAGTTGCAGTTCAGCAGCATATGGGGATCTATATATATAAA